ATGGCAGGAGCACCGAGGCACCAGCTACAGCACGGCTGTAGTTAGCTATTCCCTGGAGTTAGAGACGCCTCTGAAAAGACATCTTTCTTCAGTATCTTGAAAAGCAAGATACTGAATTCCAAATGGCCATTTCAGCTGGGACAGGAAAAACGTCAGAGGACTTCGATTTTTGTGGTATTTGTCTTTGTTTAAGAGCTTTGTCTCTGCTTGGAGGAGTGTGAGAACAAGTCTGACAAGCGATAAAGAGGTGTTACTCAAACTGAAATTGGAAGTGAAAAAAGCTGAATATGATACGGTTTTTTAATTCTAAATATTTCGAGGAGGAGGAGGGGTGTGGTTCAGGAAGTTTTGATAATTATTAGAAAATATTTAGAAATAATATGCACATTTTCAATACAAAAGAAAAGGATCCTCTCTTTTCTTTTAAAAATATAGAAAAGGGATTTGGAAAATAGGACTTTTCCATCCATTACGCTCTCCTGACACTCATATTTCATACCTTTGTACTTCAGTCCTTCTCCAATCCATTTCTTTATCAAACCAGTGTTTCCAAAGTGTTACCAGGAAGAACCTTCATGATCCTTAAAGCCCACATGTCACAAAGAATACCAAAGTTCACTACATTATTAAGACCAATATATTCCACGTGTAGATAAAAGGTGAACTATTGTTCCTGTAACAATTAAGCATATAACCTGGACGAGGTCATTTTGCTTTGCTCCATTTTTGAAATTAATATTCCCTGGATGAAAAAAAAGAGCCATAAAATGTATAATTTTCTAGGGGTTTTAATGCTGAAAATGTTTTATGTCAGATGAGATCGGCTCAGTGTGGCTATAACAGCATCTTATTAACACCTGAAATACTTAGATACTGTATGCTTAATTTAATTAGTAAAAAGTCAACAGTTTTCCAATTCAATACTTCATATTCTTCTTGGGTTTCTTGGTGGTATAATATGGAGACAATATATGTTAATAGTTTTCTTAAAAGAGCTGTGTTCAAAATTAAATGGGATGTACTTTATAGACTATTTTTTTAATGGGGAAAAAATACCAAAGACTAGAAAATATTATCACTTGTTTAAGGTGCCGTCCTCACTGTACCTAGCTGTGTTTTACAACAGAGTCAAATATCATCCTTCCTAAATGACACTATAATTTCTAACATACTTTTTCTTCAGTGAAACTGAAGGAATTGAGAAAGACAGGTATTAAACATTTGATTTAAAAATGAAAGATGGATGCCTATAGAAACATAAACTTCCTCTCCAAATAAAAGAATAGTATAAATTACTTTTCCTAGAAAACTTCTAATGATCTTCTCTGCCTTTTTCTGGAGCAGTGGTGATGAACCCTGGATCTGATGAGACTGCTCTTTTTGAAGACTTATCAATGCTAGAGAACACTTATTTTCGGCCTTATAGAGAGGGCATGGATTTCTAAGACATGGAGAGCTTTTCAGGACCGCTGAAACACTTCTGTGAAGACATTCAGGAAGTCTCACGTACAATGCGCAGTGTATTCAGCAGTGCTACCCCTAAATGTGCGGCCATCACGTTTGATCTTGCCCATGACCTTAATTTGGAGCAGCTTGGAAGTTTTCGAAACACACCACATTGATTTTCAGGAAAAATGAAAGTGGGAGGTAAATCTGACCACACTTCTCAAACCACATTATTTACAATTCAGCGTTGTAACTAAAACCAGAGGTGGCAAAACTTAACAAATATATTTGTTCAGAGAACAGATTAAAGAAATAAGGTTTTTAAAAATCGAAATTTCTCAGGCTGTTTTCTCACACAGGAGAGAATGGGATGAGTCCATGTAACTATTCCCATTCATTAGACAAGAACCCCCTACAGTGGGCCTTACCGCTTTGCTCAGTCACAACGTGGGAAGAGCTGCCTGCACTTCACGCACCAGTTGTGCTCAGGATGCCATACGCTTTCTTCTGCCACAGTACTCTCCTTTGCCCTTACTCCTCACTTCAACATCCACAAACTCCTCTCCGCTCCCTTTGACGTTGCTTTCAACCTTTTTCTACTGAATGATAGTAATAAAAGGTGGACGGGGAAGAGAACATACATCATTTATTTGACATATGTTCCAGTGAAGAAATCCAGAACGAGAAATCTAACCAAGTTTATCAGAATAGGAGTATGTAGCTTGGATGTATCTTTCTGTAACAAAAAAAATGAGGTTCACAAGGCGACAAGAGGCACTGAAAATTAGCCTGTTATCTACTGTAAGATTTTTAGAATGCTGATGTTTTCAATCCAAATGTGCTGAATTTTCAACATATCATTTTCAACACACAATTTTCAATAAGCTGCCAGTGAAGTTTGGCTATCCAGTTTTCTGAAGCCTGAGGGGAGCCAGAGATAAGGTATTCTGTTTGCTCCAACCATGAAAAGATCTCTTCTGCGGGATTAATAAAAATGACAACAATCCCCTTTTAAATGATAGAAGGTACACTGCAGAGTTTGTGACACACAGCCTGTGGCAATACATGGAGGGCTGATGTAAAACTGGGCAAGTAAATCTGCTTCAAAGCTGCTAGAGAACTGGCCTGATGTTCAGATGTGCTGACAAATCCATAGTTCTCATTTGGTTATACCAGCTCTGCCCTCACTTATATGGATTTAAATCAGGGATAACGTTCATTGAAGTCAAGTTGAGTGAGACTGCAACCAAAAAAGGGCTGTAAAAGCCTGAAATGTCTTTATTGATACGTGCTTGAACAAAGGCTGACCCACTGCAACAATGGCATTCATTCTCTGACAGCTTCAAGTGTACATCTCTTAAAACCAAAGATTTTGTCAAAAATCTGAGTTTGTGACAAGAAAGTCTGAGCCGCTGGCAAGAGACCGAAGAACACATTTGCTGAAAGATTTGAGGAGTCCAGTGCCATCTCACCTTGTCAAATTCTTGTTCTTCTTCTGTATCACAGAGACGCCAATCTTGATGAAGATGATGATCATAAAGGTGATTATGAGTGCTACTGGCAAGAGGAGTGACCACAACATGGGCTTTTGCACACTGAAATTCTGATTTTGCTCCCGTGCTGCAGGCCAGCAACTTTTCATACAAAGAAAGGCCATTTCAAGTGATTTGTTAGATGCATTATTCAGAATATCAAACCAAAACAAAATAATATTCCACCTGCATCCTAAAAGACCTCATAGGGCTTTCAAGGTCTAATTAACCTCTCTGTGAAAGGCAACCATGCCTGGAGAACTGAGGGCTTTCAGTCGCATTTCTCTTTCTCTGGGGAATGCAAAATGATTTATTAAACAAACTGCATAGAGAAATATAAGGTGCAGTTTAGCCAACCAAATAGATATCCAATGGAACCTAATGCTGTGCTCGCATGTAAATATACATGGAGCACAGTGATGGGTAGCCAGGCAGTTTGGCTAAACATTTTCTGGCTTGCACATGCAGTCCAAATTCTGAAAGTTTTAGAGAAATTGCCTCTGCCTCACCCAAATGAAAAACATAATAATAAAACAATCAGGATCTAAAACTGCATGATGATACCATCAGCTGCCAACCATCATCTACCAACAAGTAATTGAATGCACAACACGGAAAAGGCAAGTATTCCTCTACGCTGTATTAGAAGAGTTTCTTGAAGGAGGCTGAGATTTTTACTTTACTTAATGGGCATCTGTCTGCGTTCTTCAGTCCCCCAAATCCCCCTTTCAGCTTGCAGTGTTGCTGCTAACTGCTGTACTGACTTAAAAATGCGCTCTTTGCTTATTAATAAACAATATGTAACAAATAATGTCAGTCGGTTCTCGCTTGTGGAGGTGTGCAAGTCTCTGGCTGAGGGCATGAGGGGCCTGAGAGAGATCTGAATGAAGAACTTGAGTCCGTATATGCAATCACTCTCTCTGAAAGATTTTTTACTTAGTTGACACGACCGGATTGTTGAATGCCTTGATTACGGTGAAAACTTCTCATGCACACAACAGATTTATGTTGCTGTGCCAGTGAACAAGCTCTCAGTTTCAGGGCCATATCAGGACAATGAAAACAAGCTCAGTTTATACCCGTAGTGTGAGCAGGAGATTGTTTATTAAATCACGTTGCGCTAAACCAGAGAGACGCTGATTAATTGCTCTCTACTGATCTAGCTTTACAACTCTCCCTAAAGGTACTATGTACGGATACTTTGGTAAGGGTTGCCATGTATACGACTTCAAATCTTACCCCATCCAACTGCTGACATGGTTAGAAGGAAGTGTCTGGGCAGGGGCTTTGTGAGTCTAAGCAGCAGGAGGTACAGCTGTGCAGAACTGAGTGCTGTCCACATCAATGTCGCCAACAAAAGATAGTGCAGGAGGACAGCCAAGGCCGTACACTGGGAGTCTGCAGGAGGATCTTCCATGTCAGATGTGACTAAGGTGTTACTGGCGACATCATAAGGAAGGTATTGCTGGTAGCAGGTGGTGGTATTTCTGCTGTGATTCCTGGCATTTTGGTTTTCAAGTCCAGAAATGAAGATGATGTTAAAAATGAGCATAGAGGAACAGAGACTCGCAAACATCCAAGTTACAGATGACTTCTGAGTTACGATCAGTAGGAATATATTTAGGAGAAAAAAAGTAGAGCAAAATAAGAAAAAATGTGAAATATTTCCTTGTTTCCATTTATATTAAAAGCAAGCTAGAATGTGCAGTCTTTAATACAGTGACAAAACGAAGCAATAGCTTGTTTGCAGAATTCCACGCTGTCATTACTCTCAGACAATTTACCAAATCCATCAGTTTTGTCTGATTTCAACTAGAACAGAGAATACCCAACACCTTCTAGGACTGGGAAGTTGAGATGCATTTTCTTTTTTCCATTGTTCTTTTTAGAATTCTTTCCTTCAGTGTTAAGATGTGAAATAGCATAAGGCAAGTATTTCTAAACACCATTCAAGGTATGAGAGAATAAAAAACCTCCACTTCCAAATGTTGTCTTATAAATGCATTTGAAAGGCAGCGTCTGGAAGCTCCTACAGTCTTAAATACATTGACCTTGATGGAATTGCTCCAAATATACATTAGTGCAAGCAGGATGAGATATATGTACTTATCTATGTCAACCACAAATCTGTTGGCATGACTTTGCTCCTCGTTCAAGGGGGAATCACATGACACCATTAATCACGAGCACTTCCATCAAGGAAGTTGGCTGCAATTGTGTTTGAATTAAGTCACTCACAATAAAACTGTAACACAAGCAGTGTACATAATCTACATTGTCATATAACTGGGGTGCTTTGAAATCTTCTGTTCTCTACAGGCATTTTATAAACAGAAGGCAATAGAGTACAGAAACCATCAAATAGACAACGGAAGGTAGAGTGACATTTCAACAGGATAGCAAGAAGAGAACCTGAGGAACAATATATATGCTTCTACATGAATGCTAAAGGTCTAAGCAATAAGACAGTGGGCTGAAATGATGAGCCTTACAGGAAGACACCAGGGTAACAAGTACATTGGTAACTGGCTAGAAGAAAGATAACTGAATCAAAGAGAAGCTGAATTTCAGTGGAACAGACTGGATTGCAGTATTGGACTGTGAGATATTGCCAGTAAAAGAAAATTCCTCCATTGTTTTCATGAGTCTGCATTCAAATAGTGAGTGGGATGAAAGTTGCCATTTGTTAATATACAGCTACAGTTTCAGTTTCTGAGCTTCCTCTCTGATTTGGTTCTCCAGGGGAAACTGCTCCTCATTCCTTATTCCCATCCTTTCTTCAAAGCAGAAAAATCCTGTTGGTACAAATCTACTGAGTCAATGAAATTGCATACTGGAGTCAAACACTAAAAATATTTTTACTTATCCATGGACCACTTTTATCCTGTAACAGAAGGGAAAATGCAGTTCATCACATATAAAAAAATGGCAAAAGATAAAGTTACTATGTTGTAACATTGGCAAGACTATTGTGGTTGAATTCTGTTTCATTGGCAACCAAGAGTTGACTCACTGTAGCCATTACTGCCACAGATGCCTGAGAAAAAAAGGCAATATTCAAATGCAATCAAAATAAATCACCCCGTGTGCTACATAGTGGATGAGGAAAGTAAGAGAATTTAAGAAGCATTGCTTGAAAGCACACACAACAGAGTAAACAAAGTACAGGATGCCTTTTGAGAGAACCGAAGTTTTGCGCCAATGGGTTCATAAACATCACACTTCTATTAAATTAGACGGTAATGATTAAATTATTAACTTTAACATCACATGATGCTTGTATTAGAATTTCAGATATATGCAAGTCTAAACAGCTGATTAGAAACAAATTTACTCTCAGCTCTGAGAACTGACTCAACGGTGATTCCAAAAGTATGTACTCAAGGCCACTTAAATAACTCTACTAAATGGCAAAATGAAGGTTTTTAGTTGTGGTGTTATGTACAGTTAAGAGGAAGGACACAGTTCCTTCTGCTCGTAGAGCAGGGACAGAATTGATATCCCAAATATTAGGCTCCAGAAGCCTTATTTTAGTCTAAATAAGTCTCCCTTGAGAGTCTTCTGAAGCATTTGGCTTTTTCAGAATCTGCACTGCAATGTTCACAGCATCAGAGATGTTCTGTGTGGTCAGTTGGTCTGGTATGGAGGTGAGGATTTGAATGCTACTGGCCATACCTGAAACACTGCTGGTGCACACAGTTTCAACCTGTTAGGAAAATGCCTTTCAACAGAGAGAAAAGGAAACAGAGTCTCCACTTTTATAACATTCTTCACATAAAATCAAAATACACCAGCAATTGGTGGTCTAAATTATTTCTGTTCATGTCAAGTACATGTCATTTTAAAATTCTCCTTAAGGGATGATTTCATGGACTCTTAAAGTAACTTGTGTTGGAAGGGAGCCCTGGAGGTCCCCTAGCCCAGCAGGGCTGGCTGCTCAGGGGCTCACTTTGAATATCCATAAGCTCCCTCAGAAACCTGCTTGTGTTTGACCAGCATCAAGGGGAAAATTTTTCTGTTCTCTAATTGGAATTTCCCATGTTGCCACTTGTCTCCTTTGCCACTCATCCTAAAACTACACACTTGAAGTGGACCCTGACTCCATCATTCTGCACACATTGCCATGAGGAAGCTGTAGACAGTGGTTACAGCTTTATCCTGAGGTCATTGAGCTACTGAGTCTATAAATTTCTGTACACCTTTCACTATTCCTTAAATAATCAGAACGGAATCTTTTGAGAAGCCACCAGAGGAACTTGAGCACTGTCATCTGGAATAATCGTGCTTCCTAACACAGCGCTCATAACCTGCACCGAGAACATTATCCGTACGCTGTATGTAGTGTAAGCTTGGAATAAATGCAGAAAAAACCAAAGAAAATATTCTGGTGCTGGAGATCCTAATAAGAAATTCTAGTAGCAATGGTTGAGTCCAGTTTGGGTCAGTTAGCCCTTAATGGTAAGCACAGAAATGCCTATAGTCTCTTAGCAGTCTAAGAACAAAAAAAAGATGAGCTGTATACTATATGAAGGTATAGCTAGGTAACAATAAGAGTTAAAGAGAAGGAAAACTGCTAATCATCAGGAGAATTTACTTTGTAGGCTAAGGAGACCAACTAAACAGCATTGCAAGTCATCCCTTTTCTAATCTAGTTAATGAATAGCTTAAATTAATAACTTCAATAACTGAATTGTTCTCAAAAGCTTGGGAAGCTATCAAAATCAAGATTAATCCAATCATGCAGCTTTGAAGTGTTTATAAAGCTTGGAATTGTCAGAAAGAAAGGTGAATGTGTTGCATAGGGAGGAAGGAAATTTGCATTTATAATTACTGGAGATGATATTATTTGACTTGAAAACATCTGCATATGCAGCATGAACAGAAGTCCATCGTGAATGCCTATTCTCACTATCCTTACTTCTGACTTTTAGCATGACCTTGCATTCAAGGTAAATACTTGTATTTAGGAGGAATAAACCCCTTGTCAACCTGGGCCTGGATTGGCAGAGGCACGAACACCCGCTCCTCCTGGCATTCCCCTTCGCACCCCGAGCTGCCCAGGCTCACAAGGTGGCAGCACAGCATCGCAACTCAGGACAAAACCCCAAATTCCCAAAGGCAGCAGAATCACCTCACGTTGAGACCTTATGTCGCATCTTCTTAACACTAGAAATAGCTGCTACTAATATTATATACTATTTTAGTGGCGATTTGACATTTGAACCATTTATTGAGGGCTTTGTACTGGGAAAATACAATTTGAGCTCAGGGGTTTCCCATCAAAGGATCCTGGCAGGGGAAGCATTGACTTGAAAACATCTGCATATGCAGCATGAACAGAAGTCCATCGTGAATGCCTATTCTCACTATCCTTACTTCTGACTTTTAGCATGACCTTGCATTCAAGGTAAATACTTGTATTTAGGAGGAATAAACCCCTTGTCAACCTGGGCCTGGATTGGCAGAGGCACGAACACCCGCTCCTCCTGGCATTCCCCTTCGCACCCCGAGCTGCCCAGGCTCACAAGGTGGCAGCACAGCATCGCAACTCAGGACAAAACCCCAAATTCCCAAAGGCAGCAGAATCACCTCACGTTGAGACCTTATGTCGCATCTTCTTAACACTAGAAATAGCTGCTACTAATATTATATACTATTTTAGTGGCGATTTGACATTTGAACCATTTATTGAGGGCTTTGTACTGGGAAAATACAATTTGAGCTCAGGGGTTTCCCATCAAAGGATCCTGGCAGGTGAAGCATTGGGTTGAAGGTGCAGTAGTCAAGGTAAAATGCATGATGGAAGTGATTGCTCTTATTTAAAAGGACTGTAGCTGGGGTTTTTGTTGTTTTTTTTTTTTTTTCTCAGTGGGCACTAGTGATAAGGAAACGGAGCACAGGAGAGAGGCAGTCATCATCTGTAATGTTCTTAGTCATGTTCAGCTCTCCATGTTTTGAGATATGGCAGAGCTAAGCCTTAAAGCAAGGCTTAGGGATTTATGAATTTTATCAGGAGGAGTTGGTCATTCATACCAGAGAGTTTGAATTTGAATTCTTGAGGGACAGAAGCACTTCATGTGTGTTCAGCTGATCACAGGACTGAATGGAAAGGCTTCGTTCTTAATCCTTCTTAACATATCAGTGTCAGCACCACTTTGTTCCCTCATACCAGTCCCTCCAAATCCCTTCCACTTTCTCCATACTTCAGTATCCTGGCTTGGCATTGCCTCCATTTAGAGGTGTTTGCTGTCAACCGGGAAGCCAACTGAGGAATCTGCAGGCCAGCTAAGAAATATGAAATGGGATGTTGTGTTCAGGAGAAACCAAGCAAAAGAAAGAAGAAAAGAAATTTGCAAAGCAGGCGCACGCTAAGAACGCTACTGAAAAAGGCTTTGATCGTTCATTTTGCTTTCCGCAAAGTTTTAAGAAACTAAACACATATATATTTCCTGCCTCAGCTTCCTATCGAGGTTATTTTTTTCCTCTTGGGATAATGCAGAATCCGAGACACTGTTTAAATAGCAATTTGATGTTACCTGTAATGCTAGGGAGTCCAGATTTTCATTACAATTCAGAATTTTGGGGGGCTGTAAAGTAGGAGTTCTCCTTTCTCTGGAGCACATCCAGATTGCTATTGAAGTGTTATCTTTAATTTTGTAAAAGCAAAAATTTACACATTTAGTACAGAAGCACTTATTCACATCCACATGATCTCATTGGGAATTAAAACTGAACTGTGGGTGTGACACCCTATCCAGTGTTATTTTCTGTTTGCATGTAAAATATTTGTTTTTCACTGTTAAAAGTGACCATCAATTATTTAACTAGCAATTGCTTTTTTTAGAACATGTGTTTTTTCTGGTCATACACACAGTCTTGTCAGAGAGGCTGACATTATTCATGCCAAATTCAGATAGGTTTAGTTATGCTAAAGCTGCAGAAACACATCTCTTTATTGGGAGGCACAGGCATCAGCACTGAGCTGTCAGAAAGACATTTTGTCATGTCCTAGAAAGCATAGTTCATATGTCATGAAAGAAATGCAAAGAGTACATGGAGCAGCCATGCAGCACTTACTCCTCTACAATGTCTCAGAAAACTGAGACAGTTCATGGAACCACAGCTGATGGACAGTGTCCTGAATCCTAATGCTAAATAGTAAGATATAAACAGAGGCTGTTCAGGAGCAGATACTAACTGACTCAGTCCAGTCCCAGACAGACATGGGTAAGACTCAGCATCTGCACCTTAAATTCTCTGCATTTGGGGTAGAAAGCTGTGTGGAAAGGTTTGCCCTCCTGCTGCCTGAGCTACGCTGCTCTGGCTTCAAACACCAACCTCTCATCTGATCTAATAATCTGACATCTTTCACAAACCTTACATCTACTTTGGGGAAGTAGAAGTGAAAGGAAAGAGAGACATACCATTCACAGTATCACGTTCCCATTTTTCATTGGAGTTGCCACATTCACCCACTATAATCCATTCAAAAGTAAGGGGTTTTATAGTGTTTTCAGAAATGTTCATTGTGCAAGTACTGCCTTCACAGAAATTAACTGCACGGAAATAAATAAAAAGGAAAACCCCCGTATATCTGGATCAAATATTTTTAGTACAAGGACCTATTTTCAAAAATAAAATAGTACTGAGGCAATAGAAGGTTACTGAATATTTTGCCCTGAAGGAAATAAAAGCAGTTGGGTGAATCTTGTCTAAACCCAAGCTACTGAGCTGCTACAGGTGATATTTATGAAGCCACTGAAACCCTAAAAGCCCATACTTTTTGCCATGTCTCCTGTTTTCATTGCCCTGGTCCTAGAGAATTTGTAAAATATTATAAGTCTTCACTGCCAGAGTCTTGTTACCCGTGCAGGAATCAGATTCAGTAACCCGATGCCACTAAATACAGCAAGGACCAAAAATACACAGTAGTTTCAAATGGGGTTTGGGCAATGGATGGAGCTCGGACCCATGATGACTTGGATGCAGCTTCTGACACAGGAAGTCACGGCCCTGCTGCCAGTTGGAGCAGGACAGGTTGGCCACCCCAAACCCCACACCTTGTCTAAGCACCTGGTACTAGCTACGTCTAAAGGCAGGATGATGAGCTCAGTGGTCCTGTGGCCTGACCCAGGATGGCAGCCTGTTGCATTCTCGGGTCATACCATACTGCTGTAACTCAACACAAATTTACCTCGAAATGCTGCAAACACTTGAAAGAACTACTGCAGCAAACAGGCAGAAATTTTTTGCTTGTCTTAGGACTTGCAACATCCTGGTTTTGCTAACTTTTGCTAGTTCGGACCACATTTCAGCTGACTGTGACCCATTAGCAGGACTGAGTCAAAGAAGCATCCTTATGGTCGGAGTCCTGAAGGAGGACCTCAGAAGCCCTGGGGTGTTCTCCATTGTCTGGCACAGGCTTCCTTGCCAAATTGTATAGCCTTCTGTGGGCCTTGTTTCTATAGGGTGTCAGTTTCCCATGACACAATTATACTTTCCTTCTATGTATATTGCTATGAAAAAATAGACAGTTTATGAACAAAATGGGCTTCAGCCTGCAGAAGAGAAGGCTCTGCAGAGGCCCTGTAGCACCTTCGAGTACCTGAAGGGGCCAACAAGAAAGCAGGAGGGGACTTTTTACAAGAGCCTGTTGTGGCAAGACAAGGGGTAATGGCTTTAAATTGACAGGAGGGAGATTTAGACTAGATATCAGGAAGAAATTCTTCACGGAGAGGGTGGTGAGGTAGTGGAACAGGTTGCCCAGAGAAGCTGTGGATGCCCCATCCCTGGCTGGCTTCAAGGCCAGGCTGGATGTGGCTTTCAGCAACCTGGTCTAGTGGAAGGTGTCCCTGCCCATGGCAGGGGGGTTGGAACTAGATGATCTTTAAGGTCCCTTCCAACCCAAACCATTCTATCGTTCTATGAAATAAGGATGCACGACTCTGCAAATATTAGGTCTGCCTTATAGCACCATACCTGAACCTCACTGGCCATGAGATGACTAGCAGGGCAAGGTGTCTCAAAACTGTGAGGTAGCAGGAACATCTGCAGGACATCTAGGCCAAAAAGAGGCTCCATACCCTCATGGGGAAACATGTTCCAGTGACACGCTACCTTTCTAACCAAAACATTTCTCTTCATGCTCAATCTCAGCTTCTCAAACTGCAATTTATGACCGCTGCCCCTTGCTTTACCTTTTGGTGCTACCGACAAGGGTTTGGATTCAATGGCCTTTGCAGCTCCCATTCAGTTAGCTGGGGGCTGTGATTAGTTCTGCCCTCGGCCTTCGCCTTAGCACAGTGAACAAGCCCAGCTCCCTGAAACGCTCCCTGCAAGCCCATGGCCCCTCACCGTCCTCACCACATCCTGCTGGACCTGCTCCAGTTTCTCCAAGATTTTTAGCCTGGGTTGCAGGGGCAGAACTAAGCCCGTACTTCTGGGTGGTGCCTCACCAGTGCCAGGAAAGGGAGGGTGTCCATCAACCTGTCTCCTTCCACACAGCACAGCTGTTCTGCCTTATTTGCAATGAAAACACGCTGTTTGCTCATATTGAACTTGGTGTCCTCCATCACTGCCAGGAACTTTCCAGCAGGGCTGCTCCTCAGCCAGCAAGTTCCTGCTCTGTACCAATGTTCCTGTCATGGAGATCAGCACTTGTTCCTGTTGGACATTGTGAGGTTTCTGTTGGCATGATGCTCAGATTTCTCAAAGTTCTTCTGCATTGAAGCTCTGTCATTAACCATGTCAACAATACGTCTGCCCTGACTCAAGTTTAGTATTGTCTGCAGATTCAATGAGAAGGCATGCTGTGTCATCATTCAGGTCTTTGATGAAGACAATAATGCTACTGGTTTTAGTATGGACCAGCAGTTTACTCTGCTTCTACAATATTCTAGTCAAGTCACTCATCACTACCCTTTGAGCTCTGCTGTTGAGTTAATGTTCAACCCAGGTAATGGTTCATTCACCCAACCCATACATTTTCATCTACCAAACAAGAATGCTGAGCGAGCTGGTGTCAAACGCATTTCTACTACATCTGTTACTCTTCTGTTGTTTAGCCAGTTGTTTCATACAGAAGGCAGTCAGGTTGATCACACGTGATTTGCCCTTTGCCATACTGTTCCTGATTATCTTCTTGTCTCGCACATGCATGGAAATAGACTCCAAGAGGATGTGCTCTGTAATACTTCTAGGGCCTGAGGTAAGCCTGACTGGCTTATGGTTCCCCCAGTCCTCCTTCTTGCCTTTCTTAAAGGTGGTAATAATGTTGACCTTTTTTCAGTTCTCTGTGGCCTCCCTTGTTCACTGTAAGTGACAGCAGCCCCACAGTGACATTGTCCAGGTCTTTTACCAGTCTTGAATGAATCCTAACTAGATCCATGGATATGAATATTTTTGTGGTGATCCTGCCTTCCTTCTGACAGATGAAAACCAATAATGAGTTGCTACATTCATGCATGAATACAGATGCATTCATACATGAGTACATATTCAAACTTTATTTTTTATCTCTCTAGTTATTCAAGCCTTAATCTAAAAATGTTTTGGGCTGCTTTATACACATATCTATATTACTTGATCTAAAAATGTTTTGGGCTGCTTTATACACATATCTGTATTACTTGGGTTTGGACTTCCAAAAGTGAGTCCATCTGACCTAAAATTGTTTGATGCTTTCTTCCCCACTGATGCAAATCTCAAGTTATTGCAAATATTCTGGCTTCAGTAGAATTGTTCCAGATTTTAAACAAGACAAAAAAATCAAACAAAACAAAACAAAAAAACCCCAAACAAAAAAACCACACGAGTAAGAAGAAAACCAGGCCCTTTGTCATGTTCTGTGAAGGAAAGTAACCATGACATAATGTACAAAAGGAATGAAATACGACCCAAGTGCAAATTTTCCATCACCACTGGAACAAAAAGTAATTGGTTCATGAAAGTTGTCTACCCTATGTGCTTTGCTCTCTCCTGCTGGCAATAAACCAGATCACCTCCCCTACACTGCACTTCCTTCCAGCTTTCCCAAATCCTTTAGCACTATGTTCCCACACCCTTTATACCCCGTCATCCCTTAGGCCCCACCTCTGTGTCCTACATCCATATTTAGATTCCCAATACATAAAATATACATCTTTATTCTGTTAGCTGGTGGAGAAGAGACAAATGTAATGTGTAGTTTAGAGCTATGCGTCTTAGTAGGGAGGCTGGATTGACTGGCCATGTAGCCCCCACCTCCTCACTGCCTGTGTAGGTCTCCTTGCCTTTTTCTCAGTGAGGTATTTAGAGGCTTGAATCTTCTGTATCCAACTAGTGATATATGCAAAACTCATAAGATCTCAAGGCCTTTAAGACCTGTAACCATCTAGTGAATTTAGTTGAAACTGGTCAGCAAGTTAAAATTGACAGGAAGATTGAACAACAATGGTTGGTATAAATGTTCCTCAGGAAAACAGAGTAAAACTCATGTTTTATAAATTCAGTAACGTTTGTTATTATTTCAAGTTAATGATGCATGTCCAATCACTCTTATCACATGCATTTGCATGACTACAATTATTAAAAATTATTCTTTAAGACATTTCACAGCAAATCAAATGCAGAATACTAGAGGAGTGAACATAGGGAATTACAGAGTCATCATAATGGTTTGTTTCCAGTGCTGAAATCCCAGCCATGATTATTTTATTTAAGCCAACGTCTCTGAAACGTTTTGCCCAAATGTTCCAATCCATCATGAACCTATCCAATCTGTCATTGTCTGTTGGATGTGCTACCCATATACTACCCACCTTTTGATGTCCTTCTGGACAAACATGTGAGTTCATTTGTCAAAGGAGCAGCTGACACATGACAGTGTCTCTGTGTGTCATCTCATGGCCACAGTGTGGGTTGTTGGCTTGGAAAGCGTGAGCTGGGGATCTTACCAGCTCTGGAGATACTGTGGCTCAGTGCACCTGCATTAGCTGAGAACACCCGCTCCCGTTACAGTAGTGCAGGGATCATAAATCACAGAATGGTTTGGGTTGGAAGGGACCTTAAAGATCATCTAGTTCCAACCCCCCTGCCATGGGCAGGGACACCTTCCACTAGACCAGGTTGCTCAAAGCCTCATCCAGCCTGGCCTTGAACACTTCCAGGGATGGGGCATCCACAGCTTCTCTGGGCAACCCGTTCCAGTGCCTCACCACGCTCTCTGGGAAGAATTTCTTCCTGATATCCAATCTAAATCTTCCCTCTTTCAATTTAAAGCCATTGTCCCTTGTCCTGTCACTTGTAACAAGTCCTCCTCCAGCTTTCATGATACCATGTGCAGCAGGGAGCACTGAAATGAGTGTCACTCAGGCCAATGCTATGCCAGGCCTATGAAATTTGACTCCTCCAAAACCAGTGCCAGTGGCAGCAGGAGCAGAGGACAGGCATTTTCCTGCAGGGTGCTGAGCTGGATGCTGTCCCTTAAACACTGATAGATCCAAGACACGGCATTACTGGCCACTGAGGTCTGAATCATATTTTCAAGTCACTGTAATCTTCAAGCAGAGAAATTCAAACAGAAGCCAAATTGTCTAGAAACATGACACAGACAGTTGAAACCTGTAATGTCTTCCCCAGATATATGACTCATGTGAAAGAAGTACAAATGTGGATGAAGGATAGTGTCACCTAGAAAGAAAAGCCAAATCACTGCGTGCAGATCCAGCTCTGCTGAGCAGGTCTTGGTGAGGGTCGAAAGATCAGGGGCCTCCTAAAGCAGAGGGGTTCTCAGAAATGACACCAGCTTCCC